ATAACAATTATTTTTAATTTTTATATAAATAATCTGTCAATAACAGTTATTTTCAATTTTTATATTATGTCTCTTAGATAACAGTTATTGAAGACTTTTATTTATAAAAGTCATTAATAAAAATCAGTCACCGACTTTTATTTTTTAAGTCATACAAGTCATTAGGGCTATTCGCGATTCGGTGCATAAGAGCTGACAAATTTATGCAATTGCAGAAATAAACCATGGATTGTGAGCGACCTTTATTAAACTGTCATGGTAAAGCTTTTGCAAAACAATTTTTGTGCATCAGCTTTGGTTTTGTTTATGAATGCAATGCATAGCATTTTTATGCTATGGATTTTCGGTATTGCAAATTTGCCAAGCCATGACAAATGCAAATGCGTGTATTTTGTTTGTGTATTGCAAATAATTTGCAATCCAAATTTGCAATGCAATGATGCTAGGCCCTTTGCACCGGATCGCGAATAGCCCTATTATCATTTTTCGCAGTTAAGAAGGTGTTGGAGAACAAAAGTTTACTAAGACTTATACAAATGACTTTTAAAAGTATGATTTTAAAAATAAAAGTCAGTGACTGATTTATATTGAAGGCTTTTACAAATAAAAGTCTTCAATAACTGTAATATAAGATATATATTTAAAAATCAAAAATAATTGTTATTTTGGACATATAAAATAAAAATTATAAAAAACTGTTATTTAAGGAGTAATTAAATAAAAGTGAAAAAATAATTGTTAAAGAGCGATTTTTTAAAATAAAAGTTGTAACTGTTACCGTCCCTGACCAAAGCATTTTTCGATATGACAATTTGGATGCAGTTCTGTTCGTTTTAAGCAGCTCTGCTCAACTGCATCAAATTTGTCATATCGGAAAAATGCTGACTTATTCCCTTGCATTGTGTTTTCCTGCTAATTAGAAAACAAAGAGTTGAAACAAATGGAATATATGAACAACGAACTCATCCATTTCTCGCCTGAAAATAACCTAAATGAAAAGTTTAATGATAAGATGTTGCCGACCCTTATACAAGGCGATTTTTACTAACCTGAATTAGTACTAATTAGCCTTTTCACAATCAATCAATTAAATTAGTTAAGATTATTAGAATGTATATGCACTAGAAAAAGTTGAATGGTTGTTGGTTGTGTTGTCGTTATCCTCGAAGGATTTGTCGTAAATTGAGGTGCAAGGGAGTGCCGTCTGGCGTTTAATGCGCTTGTACTTGCCGCTGTGTGATGACGAGTGTGGCTGTTCGCAGACGCAACCAAAAAATTAAAAATCGTTTGGGATTACATTCGATGACCGCTTTAATAAAAAGGATTTGGACCTGCTGCAGGCGATGCCGCGTTAACAGACAAAGTGCATAGTTTTTTCTAAGACCTTTCCAGCACGGCGGCATTTGTTACCACCAGAATAAAGGAGGTCAAGCTGAACTTGGACATATGAATCAATGACGCAATAATTTCCATTGCAAACAACCTGTAAGCGAAGAAAAATAAAAGTTAAAAACTGTACTTCGCTTGGCGAAGCTTAAGACCTATCAGAATGCCACACTTTGGACTGCCACGTAATGCCTTCTGATGTCACCTGGGCTTCATTTCCTGTTTGGGTGCTACTACCGCAAGGACCTCCTGGCGACACTTTCTTGCCTCCCCCCAGGCTAAACGTACTAGAGTTGGGAAGTTCACGAACTAGTTCGTTCAATGAACTAGGTCTTTGAATTGATTTATCGAGCTTTTTATAGCGCTTATTTTCAGTTTTTTCTGATACATTTTTACCAGCCCTGATCATCATCTGGCACTGACGGGCCTACGTCACTAATTGCGGCCACCGATATGCCAAGGCAGGCGGGTCTTTGCACTCTCCCAATTACTAGTGCGATTCATAAAACGTCGCAAAGTTGCATTTTTGGGGACTTATCGCAACTCCGGATTACAAATTTAAAATTTTTTAAACCTGCCGCGCGTTAGAGAAAAAGAAAAGTTTTTACAATTATATTTCGAAGCAGCCTTAACTGATACACTTTTCCTTGAAGTATTCGAAGACAATAAAAAAAAAACATGGCAATGTCGCAATTTTGTCGCAAGAAAGTTTCATTGCAAGAGTATCAGCTGTGTCGCAAGGTGGCAAATTTTGCAACAAATGCGACATTTTCAACAACTTTGCGACGTTTCATGCATTTCACTACTATTTTCTTGTTTTCTTCGCCTAGAGCTTTCCATCAGACTAGGGCCCTTTGGGTTGCAATCGGTCTATTAGCTGTGGTGTACGTAAGGGATATACATATATATGTAAGGCGACAGTGACCATTGTTTTCCAAAAGCCTTTTTGCAGATGTAGTACAGAATGCTACCAAGGTATTCGGTTTCGGAGGAGGTATTCCAAGTATCTCCCCCTAATATCGGTAGAGAAAAAGAGGGAACTTTTGGTTACTTACTTTGGTCAAAGAGTGAAATTTCTTTCCTCAAACTTTTTGCAATGATATAAATTAATCTACGCTTGTTCGAGCGGAAGCAGCAAAAAAAGAGAAAAGTGTAGACAAAGGGAAAACTGCATTAAGAAATACAAACTACGCTCGCGGGCTCCGTTTTTTAAATAGTTCTACATATTCTTGGCTTTTATGTGGGCCAAATTATATTTTGCACGCCAGCAAAAACTACATAGATATGTATGTGTATAAAATCTCCAATTTATCTCTCTCAGACATTTTCTAATCTTAAGCAAAACCAACATCCAAAAAAAGATATGACACAGATAAAACCAACACTGTCCAAAATTTTAACGCAATTCTCGCCGCACAAAGCAGTCGCTAATCACTCGACCAACGTCTTAGACACTTCGCATGTCTCCAACCACCAACTTTTGAGTAAGTATCCACAAATGTTTTGAAAAAAAAATCTTCGCCGATTATCAGCGCCATTGCACACGTCAGTGACAAACGGGCAAATAAGAAAGCCAACAAGAGATGAAGTAAACATAGAGGAAAGATTGGGAATAAGATAGAAAAAGACCGCATACAAGAAGCAATGGAAGTCAATATATGATAAAAACAGACAAACAACAACGCAAAACTGGTTTTCGAAGACAAGTCTCTGAGACTGAGTTGGCTCAAAGACGGCAACTTAACTTGTTAATGTAGTTAGCTGGTTAGCTGGTTAGCTGGTGGCTTGTCCCCATTGTGCAGCGGCAATTTACATATGTACATATGTATGTATGTACGAGTATCTGTATGCTGTAAACTGGTATGAATTTTTGCTTTTTTTCCAATACGCTTAAGAACCAAACATAGGGACAATTGATATATTCTTAACCATACTCTTCAAATAATGGCTCTTAAACGAAATGGCTCGAAGCGGCGCGATCAGCTAGAAATGTTCAAATATAATTTAAACTTACGAACTATGGCTGAAATAAGCCATTTCTGCGGCCAAAAATCAAACAATGCATATAGGCGCTTAAAATCGTGTAAACATGGTTCTTAGAACCATAAAAGGCGTTGGTTTGAAAATCATCGAAATCGGCCCACAACCACACCCACCGCCGCCCATATACCGGGCATCGCGGACCCTTCACAATTTTCAATTCACAAATTTTCACAAAAATTCACAATTTTCACAATCAACAGTATATACCATTGGTATTATTTGCTATTACTAAAATAATCACACTTCAAAATAATAAAATTCTAACATAAACTAAAACCAAAACCATTAACTTTACGTTGACGGATACGGAACCAGGGTTAACTTGTGGTCATAAATTTATAATTTCTAGGTATCTAGAATAAAGTCCGCCTGTTAAAAATTTAGAAAGCAAAAACCGAAAATTGGACTTTTGGCCGCAGAAAGTGCTTATTTCAGCCATAGTGTTATGTAGGTATGTATGTAACTACATTAGACTGCATCACTGCCCATACAAAAAAAAAAAAAATCGGTACTATTTTTCCATTGGAATTATAAAATCTATTATATTTTAAGACGTCCACCAAAATATTTCGGAAAAAAATTAAGATTTACGTGAGCTGGACCGATTTGAAAATACCTCCAGAAATGAAGTTTTTTATGAATAAAAATAGTTTCTTAAAGATTAAAAAAAAATCCTCTCAAATGACAAAACGGTTTAAGCTTAAAAAATTTGCATAAAAATGTTTTATAAAAATTAAAAAAAAAATTTAACGGAATCGTAATGATGAGATTTTTGATGCTGTTTTTTTGAAATTTTTCAAAGATTGGTATAAGAAAAACTTGAATAACTGAACCTAAACTCTTCCGATTTAGACTTAAGAGGTGTCATTGGAAAGGTATTTTCTCATCCTTTTTATTGGTATTTGAAAAAAATTGGGACGCGAATGACAGAAATAACAGTGTGAAATACCTTTCGACTGAGATCCCATAAGTCTAAATCAGAATAGTTTTAGCCCAGTTATTCAAGTTTTTCGTAAATCATTCTTTAAAAAAAGTAAAAAAAAACAACACCAAAAATCTCATGCTTATGATTCCATTGGAAATATTTTTAAATATTTTTATTGAGATTTTTTAAGCTTAAGCTTAAAAAACTCCATTTTTGGTGGTGGGCAGTCTAATCTACATACATATGTACACATGTAAATATTTCAAGTTTTGCGAAGGAAAGTACTCAGGTAACCAAGCACGTAATTTTGGTTTAGAAGCTTTAATGCCTCTCAGCATGGATCGTTTCGTAGCAGCAGGAGGCTAAACTATTTTTACGCTACTACGCGATAAGAAGAAAGAATATATAATTACCAACTTTATTGGTATAACGCCGCGACGATGAGAGCTTGCTAGCTTTTCTAAAGTCGTTAACATTTTTGTATTTTAACTTTCACCTCGCGCGCAAGCAACAGCCACAACTTCTTCTTTGCTAGAAGAGAAATATTCACACGCGTGAACTTTTGACTAAACAACAACAAATCATGGTAACGTGGTGTTTTAACATTTTTCAATTAATTCCTAAATAACTTAAAAATAATATTCACCTCTTAAGTTCTCCCATTAGCAAAAATATTTTCATAGACAATGTTGATTCTTAATTTTAACAGGTTTACCCTTAAAGCAAACTTTCGTTTGTTGAATTTGTTTTTACTAGAATGTTGAAATCCATATAACTGCACCTTTTATTATTGGCAAACATTTAAATATTTTCGAAATCTTCAGCAATGCTGCCACACATTCGCACATCTGGCGCAATATCCTTGTATTCTTTTGCGCGCATTCTAATTTACGAGCACAATTTCGCTTACGAAATTGATCTACCTTCCACGACGATTTGTATGTGTAAATATGTATTTTCCACTTTTTTCAATCGCTACCACAAATACTCGCACTTATTGTATATTCACGCACACTTACTTTATTGCGCACTATTCCCTTTGAAATTTTTCAACTCCCCGGTCTATTGCACAAAAAAACATCTCTGATACGTTTCAATGAATTTTGTTAATACAATTTTTTTTTCTTTACAGTTGGCGAAAGCGCTGCTTTGTGGCGTCCGCTTTCTTTTCCGCTTCCTTTTTCGTCAGCGGCACTCAACAGAGTATTTTTTTCCTTTTCCTTTTTATTTAAACATTACTGTGTGTTTTTCTGCGCACCGCACTGCGCAATTTTTTGTTTTACTATTTTTTTTTAACGCACAAAATCCAACTTGCAGTTGGGTACGCACTAAATTCCACACTAAAACCGCTTTTTCAACTCCGTCTCAAGTTTTAGTTTTACACCGATTAAACGTCACTTCACCTCAGTAATTTATTATCCGCGTCGTATCCAACACCTTCTGCGGTTTCCCGGCGACTGTGATTTCGTTACTGACTTTCATTGGAGGTTGCCGCTGCTGTTTCAGCGCTGCCATCGTTGAGCTCCAACAATTTTCCCCCACAATTCCACCTTTCGAATTCGCCGCACAAGCATGTTGTGTGTGTCGCGTATCGAACTTGTTGTTCGGGTTGTATCGTCAGTGTTGTGTATTAAATTTGTGTTAATTTTAAACGAGATATAAACTAAGCTTTAATTAATAATACATTTATTTTATTAATTCTCACTCTTGCTCACTCAAAAAAAATCTAATTTTATTCACTCAAAAATAATGATTGCTTGCAGTGTTGCCGTTGATAATTTTCAAAAAGTCGCAAAAAAGGGGTCATTGATGAAAAAAGGGTCACCATATTATTTTTTACTAGCAAAATAATAACAAGCCGATTCTGAACAGAAACTCTCTGGGAGTTTTCCCTCTTTTCCCTTTCCTCCTATCAGGAATGAAAATTTCCTGAGGATTTTTTATATTAAATGGCAGAGTTGAGCTCTCAAAAAAGTGTCAAACAGCTGTTTCGAAGTTCGAATTTCCTTCTATTGAAGGATTTCTTTCTGGGGAGAAACCAATTCCCGGAGAACAAACTCCCCGGGAGTATTAAGAATTGGGCGGTAAATCTGTTGAATTTAAAAAGAAAATAGCGG